TATTTGGAACAACATTTTTTAAAAAGCCAGAAGCGTTTTGGTTAAGCATTGTTGGTAAAGATATCCTGAAAAACTTAAGAGAAATATTTCTATATGCTACGACAGTGGCCGGAATACTAGTAGCAAAGAACTGGAAAGGGGAAAATGTTCTGACTATAATGGATTGGCAGAATAAGTTGCTAGAATATGTGGAAAAGGTGCAATTGACCGACAGCCTAAGCCGACAGCAGTTCAAGACAAGAATTTGCACAAAAATGGGATAAATGCAAGAGATATGTACAAAAATATACCAATGGTTTTTCATCTATGGCAGCATTTGAATGACCTTGGATAAAGAAATATAGGAGAAATAAGATCAATGGTACAAATTGTTGTAAGAATGTATTAGACAATATATAAAGAATAGATTAATAATGGTAGGTACATTCACTATTAGAATAAAAGCATACAATGGGAATTGACAGGAAGTCCAAAGTTTTTATGATTTTTTTTGTTAATAATCTTTGTTAATAACCACATAAAAAGTAGCATGAACACAGCTGAAGCTTAAGGTTTATAACTATGTAAGAAAAGACAAGTATATGTTTTTTTTAGTGTGCGTGTATATGATTGAAATCTCAATTTACTCTACGAGATGTACTACATATATGTAATGTATTGTAGGACTATTAATAAAGATTGTTACATTGCAAAAAAGAAAGAAAGAAAGAAAGAAAGAAAAGAAGGCTCTCACTAGCTGGTATGAGCTAGTGAGCGGAATAAGGGCCACTTCACAAAATGGAACAGAATGTTTAATTACACCGATTCTACAATCTTAAGCATAGACACTGGGGAAATTGGGCCATTGCAATAATTCAGGTGAGTTTTGTTGCAGTATAGCACTAAAACTGTGATGTCCCCAAGTACAGAGTAGAAAAGTATCAATAAATTAAATCAATTAAGGAGTACATGGGGTGTTAGGGGAGGGGTAGTTCCTACTCAGCTCTCACCTGCGGCTCCTAGAAGCTGTCCGCATGCAACAGTGGCCACTCGCTGGGAAATTGTTTCACCTGGTTGACTAAACCAGGTGAGGGTAGCTGATGGGTCTCAAACCCTTGGTGAGATAAGGACTTCGCCTGTATGTGAAGACAGGCTTTGTGGATTGAGTTGACAACATCAATAGTGGGTCAATAGTCAAGAAGGAGATTTCTGCATGTGCTGTAGAGGGAAGTGAGTGGCAGATAGGGTTTGTCAACCTGGGAATGTAAGCCAATTTAGGAGAAGGAAAACTCTGATCCTAAACTTCTGCTGCCTTGGGGTAAAGAGGAGACTGAGATAGCCATCTTCAAGTATCTAATATGATATGATAGCCATCTTCAAATATCCCAAGAGATGTCACATAGAGGATGGAGCAAGCTTGTTTTCTCCTGCTCTGGAGGCTAGGACCCAAACCAATGGATTCAAGTTCCAAGAAGGAGATTCTGACTAAGCATCAATAAAAACTTTCTGACAGTAAGAGCTGTTTGATAGTGGAGCAAACCCCCACCATAGGTAGTGGATTCTCCTTCGGGTGGGGGTGGGGGGTTAAAGCAGAGGTTGGATGACCACCTGTCATGTATGATCTAGTTGAGATTCTTGCATTGCACTGGCTTGGATTAGATGACCCCTGGGATCTCTTCCAGCTCTACAATTCCATGATTCTATGACATTTGGGGCATTAGGCACACTGATTCATTGTGCTTACAGGAACAATGGACAGTTCCTTTCTGCCCTAAGAGTTGATGGTGATGTGATAGAAGCATTGTGGTGAACTCACTCATCCCAGAGATGGCAGTGAAACAAAATAAATGAGTGAATCCTACAGAAAAAGGATGCCTCTTATACCACGTTCATCTCTCTTAAAAGCTTGTGTTGGCTTCCAGCTTGGTATTTGCAAGTCATGTGGGAACTGATGGTTCCGGCTCGACCAATTGACAGAGTGGGGCTGCCTAGCAATATCAGCTCAGGTGGCAGAGTTGTCTGATCGAGGACTTTTGCACACTAATTGGTATCTCTTCCCTTTAGTTCTGGTGGCCCGCATTTCTGTTGAGGTGTAATCCAGCCATAGAAGGAAGTGTCTCCTGAAAGGCCCTTAGGCAGCTGTATGTGAACTATTCCTCAGCAACGGCAGTTTCACATTCAACATAGATCAGTTTACCCCATGTTGCACACATCTGGTGTGATGGAACTCCAATAAGAGAGACGGAAGTTGTTACAGAAATGCAAAGAAACATACAGTTAAGATTTCCCTTTTAGAGGAAAGTAATCAGTGATCAGAAATTATGTTCTAATTTAAACTCTAGGAGAAAGCATTTCACAGTCCTTACTGTATCAGGATCCTCACAGCACTGGAGTTTCGGGTGGAACATTAATTTTCACACAAGACTTTTCACACTCTGAGTTGTTCTTGAATCAGCATATTCTCATTCATGTTATAGCTCTCAGCAACACTTACGTCACTGATGAATGTTCTGTGCATCAGTTGATGAATAATCTCTGTGATGAAGAGAAGAAAATGTGTGGGATAAAAGGTCTGTGATCTGTTTGAGACAATAGCTTAGTTTCTGCCAAAGAGGCAACCCATTGTCCTGTGTGATTAATATGCGAAAATAGAGATCCTCACTCAGTATGGATGTTAATATTAATGCCTGCCCTATTTGTGTGTCCCTTGTGCAACACATCCACCCCCACACCAGCCTTCATGCATAACAAAACTGAAAGACAATATTCCACACTGGAACAATTCACACTTCTCCTTCGATTTCATGTTTGCTCTAAAGGTCTCCGAAAGGCATCCAGGAAGAAGCTATAACCCAATTCTTGATGCTGTATTTCAAGCACAATCTTCAGTGAGAATCACCACTAATCATGTGCGATGTTAAGTTGTGGGGGAAGATATCAGACGACACAGTGATTCTCCAAACAGCTCTTGTTTATTCACAGGCCAGGACAGAACTGAACTGAAGGGTTCAGTCAGCCTGCTTATATAGAGCTCCAGTACAATGTAACTGTAACAATTTTCTAAAACTATCCAATCACTGAACGTCACTTTCGACCCCTTATTTGCACAACTATCTACAGTATCCCCCTGCTGGCCCAGGGTGAGAACTTCAGTACATAACATGCGAGATTAGAAGAAAGGTTAGGTTGTTGTTTGTGTGTTTGTGTGTGGGGCTAACTGGATGGCTGGAATAAAGGTCCCCTCCTCAGCCAACCACTTTAACAGTCATGACTTTCCCCTGTAAGAACCCTGTGAACTGAGGTTTGTTAAGGGTGCTGGGGACTGTAGCTCTGTGAAAAGCAAACTACAATTCCCAGTGGGGAATCTGTGCACTGGGAGAAGGCATGACTGTTAAAGAGTGCTTAAATACAAATACAGTGTATGGCACCCAAGGCTGGCTGCTGTGTCAGCAAATGACTTTTGAGCCAAGAGAAGCATCACTTCTTCTCTCCAAAGACCATTGATTATTTAATCTCTATACCATTAAAAATATCTCTAAGCAGTGTACAAAGGCAGCGACAATAGACAACTGAAGCAAAGTATTACAAAAAGACACAGTTACATAGAAAAATGTTACATTAACACAAAGTTATTAGTACATAAAAATATAAATTGATATCAGTTCATTTTCCTTCTGACACGTCCTCCCTCTCAGACTCCAGGTTCTCACTCAGGGTCCAAACAAACTCTCAGCTCATCCACAAACATCTTTCAATGAGAAGAGTTTCTGCAAGCAGCAGACCTCACCCTAGTCTCTCACCCTAGACTTGCTTTTTATGGGCAGGCCCAGGGTGGATGGCACTTCCTCAGGCTTCCCACAGCTGTGCCCCATTCAGCTGTACTCTCCACACCCAGTTCCAGGTGCAGCAGGTTTGTTGAGTTTCCCAGGGGGTCCAAAGGATGGGTAAAGGGTCCCCCTCCACTCACAGCTCTTCTTCACCTTCTGCCCTCACCTCCTCCAGCAGCTAGTCACCTCGTCTCCCTGTGGGGGACAACAGTTTAAGGTTCCCCCCTCTCTTTGCATGGACCTCAGTAATCTGTAACTGAAGGATTACCTGCCCATGATTCTCCAAGCAGCTCTAGGTGAATTGTGAGAGAGACTGATAGTATTCATTCTGTAAACTTGTGTGTCAGTGACAAAGAATCTGCCGACATCTGGCTCCTGAATATGGGTGCCTGGGGACTCTTGAGTCACTGGAGTTGTGTCCCTGAGGCACTTAACTCTGCAATCTCCATGGTGATAAAGCTCACGACAGTGACTAGTTTTCCTCCAGTGGTGGGAAAGTTAGCATACCTTTCTAACAAAAAGGTGTTGAATGCATACAAGAGCAACCAAGCTTCCCAACACAAGATCTGAATTTAGGCTCTGTTTTAGGCCCTGTTGTGTGGGACTGCCATTTTCTAGTTTTCCCTTTCTACCTGTCTCGTATTTGTCCTCGTATTTCACTTGTTTGAGGGCAGGACCCACCTGGATGGGTGCTCATTCTTAGAGATCCATAGACCTAGAGAAACACAGAGATCTAGAGAACCATATGGCTTTAATTGTCAGAAGCAATAGAGAGATAGAATGTTTTGTTGGGACCCCAGTTAATATGACTTTGGGGGGGAGCAGGGAGTTATTGACATCACACTTTAACTCGGGAAGGGAGAAAGTAACCCCAAATCACCCACGTAGAGCCTATGCATACTGCAAGTACTGTATATACACTGATATTCATTCCTGAAGTTAACAGAATTTAAGTGACCAGCTCTGTAATTCAGCCATCTTGGATAATATTTGTTACACCTTTTGAGATGCAGGTTTGGAAACAAATGCAGCAATTCATTTGCCTGTTCAAATACAGAGGATAGTGGTTAGGAACATAGGAAGCAGTCTTATAACAAGTCACATCACTGGTATCTACCTAATTCAGTACTGCTTGCACTGACTATCAGCAGCTCTCCAGGGTTTCACATGGGGGTGGTGGGTGGTGGTCCTACCTGGAGATGCCAGGGATTGAATCTGGAACCTTGTGTATGCAAAGCAGATGCTCTATGACTGAGCCATGGCCCACCTGCATAGAAAGCAATTGAAAGTCTAACCCAGTGGTTGGAATATTCTTTCAGAAAAGCCAGATATAATGCAGTTTTGCACTTGGCTGAAGCAGTGCTTAAAATTATATTTCTTCCATTGTGAAACCCAGTGCTTGTCTACAAGCCATTTCCTTGGCTGGCTATAGAGTTGCTCGTTCATCCATTTAAATTAATGTGTCATGAAGTTGGGTACATTTCAGTATCCTGGTGATGTGTAAAGGCTGTGCCTGAACCTGCAGTTGGATGATCAGCCACATGGAGCTTTAAAAGTCTTGTTTACTTAGCTGCATCTTCACCATGATTTCAGCCAAGTGGCATAAAAGGTGTCAGAAAGTCAATAGAGGGAATTCAGTAGCTGTTCTCGAAGTGTTTGTGCTGGGCTCAGGGCCTGATTTATCAAGTTCGCTGTCTATTGTTTGATTTCAAAGAAATGTGACAAAGTGCAATGCATTGTCTTCTGTATGTTTCTTCAGTGGCACATCTTATTTGGGTTGAATTTACAAGAGCAAAGGGAAAATATAGGGCTGCATCATGTGTAAGGTGGTTGGGGCCCCTGGTGCAATTCCAAAAAGAGTCCCTGCCCCATAAGAAGCATATGAAATAAAATATCACAAAGTAAGTCTTGCGGTATCTTAAAGACTTAAAACAACGATGATGGCATAAACGTTTAAGGTCCACAAAATATACAAGGAGCCTGTGGGGTTTCACAACTGTCAGCAAAGCACATGCCCACACAATACATTTTGCCAGCCTTGATAAACAAAATAAAAATACTCCAAGCATGTTTTGTTTCACATTGTAAACACCTTTAACTTATCATTATTCTTTTTCTCACTTTCTGACTTGGGCCAGTCACCACCAGTCTAACCAACCACACATGGCTGTTGGGAAGATATAGGAGGCGTAATATGGCTGCAAATTGGGATTTACTGACCTACATTTTTAAAAAGAAAGGAAAGCTCAGGGTCTGGGCCCCTTTGCAGGCAGGGCACTGGTGCAATTGCTAGAACTGCACCATTCCTAATTTGGTCTTCTTCATACATGATAGAAGCTATATCCCTTCTGAGGTATTTGAAAAGCAGCACATTCAATGAATGGGCTGGTGGAACACCTTGACCTACATGTAGAATCATAGGATTTTAGTGTTTAATGGACTTTGGGGGGTTCTGTAGCCCAACTTCAATGCAGGATCTACAGTGCAATATGCAACTACAATGTACCCGACAGTAAATGTGGCATTGTCCAAGCTCTGATTAAATACCTCCAATGAAAGAGGCTCCATCACTTTCCAAGGGAGCCTGTTCTGCTGTCAACCAGCTTTTACCACTAGGAAATTTCTCATAGTTTAGCCATCTTGCCTTCTGGAAAAACAGCAAACAAGCCTGTTCCATCCTCTACTGGAAGATGGATTTTTGAACACATTCACTGAACACCTTCACAGCACTTTTGTGTATACAAAGAAGATTCCTATTACATACATGAGTTGGGGTATAGTTTAGGGTTTTTTTGTTGGGAGGTTCTCATGCTGTTATTATTGCCCTAATTGTTTAAAATGTTTTTTAGCTACATTTTAACTTGCGTTTTTTTAAACTTGCGGGTTTTGTTGTTTTTCAAATTAAGGGACGTATGTTGTACCTGGGAAGAGAGGTGTCAGGGAGTGCAGGGGCAACTCCAATCGCAGTGGCTCTGGGCAAGGGAAGGTTTGGTGTGGGAGGTTGGGTAGACTGGGTAAAGGGGACATGGCACAGACAATTAGTGACTGTGCTGTGTACCAGCCCCTCATCCAACCTGGGGAATTGCAGTTGTCCTCTCAACATGTCCATGGGTCTGCGGCTATTGTTGCTGAATGCCAGGCCAGCTCTGAGTAAGACCTTCCTCACCCATGATCTGAGGAAGCCAATGTGGTCTATATCACTGAGACCTGGGTGAGTGAGCAGGGCAGAGTTGGTCTCACCCAGCTGTGCCCACCTAGATACTTGGTGCAGCATCAGGGCAGGTTTGAGGGTCAGGGAGCAGGAGTTGCTGCAGTCTATAGAAATTCTATCGAAAAGCAGAGACATCACCTTGCCAGCAAAGGTCCGTATAGTTAGAGCTATGGTTTTCCCAGTAGTGATGTATGGAAGTGAGAGCTGGACCATAAAGAAGGCTGATCGCCAAAGAATTGATGCTTTTGAATTATGGTGCTGGAGGAGACTCTTGAGAGTCCCATGGACTGCAAGAAGATCAAACGTATCCATTCTTAGGGAAATCAGCCCTGAATGCTCACTGGAAGGACAGATCCTGAAGCTGAGGCTCCAATACTTTGGCCATCTCAAGAGAAGAGAAGACTCCCTGGAAAAGACCCTGATGTTGGGAAAGATGGAGGGCACAAGGAGAAGGGGACGACAGAGGACGAGATGGTTGGACAGTGTTCTCGAAGCTACCAGCATGAGTTTGACCAAACTGCGGGAGGCAGTGGAAGACAGGAGTGCCTGGCGTGCTCTGGTCCATGGGGTTACGAAGAGTTGGACACGACTAAATGACTAAACAACAACAATAGAAATTCTCTCATTTCCAGGCTTTCTGCCCAGTTGGGGGAAAATCTAGGCTATGTGTTCCTGGCATTGGGCAGTCGGGACAGATTAGGGATTCAGATGGTTTCCTGCCCACCGCAATGCTCTGGCACAAGAGACTCATCTCCCCTTGTCCTGGGTTCTGTCACTTGGTGCATTAAAAGAAAGGTTCCATTCTGTATGCACTGTCCCGTCCTTTGGCTGCCTTAGCCCTGAGCAGTCACAACTCCATAGCTTTCGCTCTTCAGCTTCATCTTGTAAAAGCTTGAACAGAAGCCTTAATATGCAGATTGATTTAGCACTGCGGCAAGATGATTGAAAAGTGGATATCTATTATAACTGTGAATCATTATTCGGGTCTGATTTGTGTATTATAGTCTTAAATGTGATTCAGGCAATGCTGCCTTAGATGCTGCTATATGAAGTGATAATGGGAAGGGCATTAGCTATAATGGGTCATGAGCCGACTCATTAGACAATACAACTGATTTTTACTGAGTGCATCAGTTTCAATAGCGAGTTTAGTTCTTTTGATGTGGAGCAGAACTGTTCAGTGGGTTATCTGTCAAAATCAAGATTCGGGTTACTTTAGGCATCTGTTGAGTTGCTATTTTTTCACCTTTAAAGAGAAAGGTGATTTTCTAAGAATTTTCCATACATAAAATGAATTTTCTTCATGAAGCCCTTATAAAACCCATCATAAAGCTGGAGGCTTGATTTAACCAGTTTGGAAAGCCGCAATTCTCATTTCAAGCTTGTCAAAGATTCCAGCCAATTACTTTACTTCAAAGAAGAAATAAAGTGCATGTTTATAGCACACCTGTCTCCACCTTAGCTTTAGGAATGAAACACTCTGGTGCCGATGGTTTCTCTAAATCACTTATCGCCTTCTTCTTTACAACTTAATACGCACCTCGCTCTAGTCCAGCCAGTTGCTGTATTCTCAGTCTTTGACTTGATTCACACCCACATTGATTTGTACCTGCAGTAACCCACAAGGCTGGCCACCTGAAAAATATATAGCCTCCAGAGAGGGAAGGTCCAAGGTCCAATACCTGTTATCTGTCTGAAACCCTGGAGAGCTGCTGCCAGCCAGTTTAGACAATACTGAGCTCGATGGATGAATGGCCCAACTTCCTATAGGAGACTTTCTGTTGTGTTGGTGCTGACCTTTAAAGCCCTAAATGGCCTCGGTCCTGTATACCTGAAGGAGCGTCTCCACCCCCATCGTTCAGCCCGGACACTGAGGTCCAGGGCCGAGGGCCTTCTGGTGGTTCCCTCATTGCAAGAAGTGAGGTTACAGGGAACCAGACAGAGGGCCTTCTCGGTAGTGGCGCCCACCCTGTGGAACACCCTCCCTTCAGATGTGAAGGAAATAAGTAGCTATCCTATTTTTAAAAGACATCTGAAGGCAGCCCTGTTCAGGGAAGTTTTTAATATTTAACGCTGTAATGTTTTTAATACTTGATTGGGAGCCGCCCAGAGTGGCTGGGGAAACTCAGCCAGATGGGCAGGGTTATAAATAAATTATTATTATTATTATTATTATTATTATTATTATTATTATTATTATTATATTAAACTTTCTATTCGTTAAACTGTTTCTTTGAACTACTCCTCATCTGTTTCAGGAGGATATTTTCACTGTCCCTAAAGAGAAGAGGCGTTGGCTTGAAGGACAGATCGCATATGAAAGGTGTGGAACATGATCTTGTGACATGCTTGCACTGAGAATGGCAATCCTTGGATGTGTATTTGTCAGGCCCATGTTCAAGTTTCTACTGAAACTGCTTTGAGTTTAACAATACTGGATTGGTGAAGGAAGATGCTAGCTGCCATCATGGGGCCCTAACAATCTGATACAAACAAATTCTATCATTGTATCCATGAAAAAATGTGTGACCGGCAGCTTCTCCTAATCAGTATGCAGGGGCATCCTTTTTAAGCTGGAATCTCTATGCAACAGTTTGTCCATCTCTTGAAATCTTCCATGACTACAATGCTCAATTATAAACATTTGAAAGATGGCTATATGGTACAAATGAAAGGGTGGATGTAACAGATCGCACGAGTAATTTGTATTTCACTTGCTTTCTTGGTTTCCTCCTAACTGCAGATAACATTAATTAAACCATGTCATTATCCTAGCTAAGATGCAGTAAATCAAATGCACTGTATACACTTCAAAATAGACTAAGTCAAATTTCCTAGAATGGAGTTTGTGTTATTAGTTTCCATGTATTGCTTGCACAAAGCATTTTATGAAAGCACCTAACATGGGGATCAATAGACTCCAATTATGATTGTTATATATGTGTATCTTGTTTTCTTTTGTTCTTAAAGTATTGAACTTCTAAGTCCCAGTAATTGAAGGCTGGAAGATAAACTCATATGCTTCATTCTACTTTCCTCCAGTGATTCACCTAG